AATACGAGTTTGAGCAGGATCGCTGGTTGGGGCCAAAAACCATAGAGCAAACAATTTAAGTTTGCAAGTCACAGTCTGACCCACCTTTCTGAAGTATAATAAAACTAAAATACCGCCATCCCTCGTTTAAAAGGTGTTACTGTGCCTGGGTGTGCACACCAAGCCAAGTGCTGCCCTATTAGTCTCCCATTCCTCCCGACCACAGAACATCTTATCCAGATGCTTGGGTCGAGCTGCCAGCATGTCATGCTATACCTTCTGAATTATTGTTGGCAAGTTGTTTTTTTTTTTTTTTTTTGGCCAAACAATCATTGTGGGTTATACTCTCAGAGGGACAGCCATCTCATGCCACCCGTAGGCTCACACACTGCTATACTTTAATATACGAAGTAATTCTTGGTCTACTGCCTTCGTATATTACCAAGTTAATTGTACAGGGAAGTCATGGTCTTTTACTCCTTGCGTTCTCAAGATTATCTGTTGCCGTCTGTTCCATATGTTCATACTGTTCTGACTAAAATGGCCTTTGTCTACTCTGCTCCTTCTGCATGGAACATGTTGCAGAACGAGTTAATTTCATTGAGCACTTTTTAAAACAAAACGGAGAGAACTTGAGGAAGTCGAAACAATGAGTACCTGTTTTTATTGTCTTGTCAACTTCAATGACCTATTTTTGTTTTCAGCTTTGATTGTGTTTTAACTGACTTTGCTTCCTTTCAAAAGAGGTTTGTAATCTCAATGGCATCTTTTCTGTTTTAAATTAAGGTTAAATAAACAGTTCTGTCAAGAGCGAAAGCAGCTCAAAAAACTGGACAAAAAAGCTCAACTTTATGAACTCTTGTTGTCATAGATATAGGGATTAACATATTGAAGCCAATGACTTTGGCCAGGCATGAATCAGATGGAGGCTGAAAATGCAAAACGTGTGTGTGTGTGTGTGAGAGAGAGAGAGAGAGAGAGAGAGAGATGATGTGTGTAAGGCCTGCAGCTGTTGTGAGGAGGGCACATATTGTGTATTGAGTAAATTATTCAGTAAATACCTCAATATAATGTACACTACATATGTCCAGGGCTGTCTCTGTCTTTAATGGCCAGCTGGTCACCAATATGACTCCCACCAACAAAGAGTGTCCAAACAGCCGCACAATTCCATTACAGGCTGGCTGTGCTGAAGGAGATCCAAGATCCATTCATTAATCGTCTGTGTGAAGTTGTAGGCAAATCATAATGGGAGTCAAGACCCTTACTCTGGAGCTGTGGTTGGTGAGAGAGACTAATGTAGTCCCCATTCAAAAGAATACATCACCTCATTGCGCCGGCACTAGAGAAATACATGAACTTTAACAAAAAGGGTTCAAGCAATTGGCAGCAGCGAGGCAGTCGCCAGCTATTAGTCAGTGCAGCGAAGAAAGCAGCGACGAGGGAGAGGGAGACAAAGGAAAAGCACAGGGGGGAAAAACTCTCAGTGTAATTGCAACCCCTCTCCCCAACTGTTAACTACAACAGTCATTAACTACAATAGCAGCTTGGCTACTGCAGTCATAGCAAATTAGTTCTACACACTGGATAAAGAAAAGACACATTTTTTTTCTTTTTTCTTCTGCCTCCACTGGCTCACCTTGTTGCAGCGAAAAGAGGAATTCTGTTTGAAAGGGTGTTTTACTGACCATCTATGAAGTCTGTTGGTCAGCAAACTTTAAAACAGTGATAAAAAAAGCAGAAATGAGCAGCAATCGGTGAAACGTGCTTTCATAGTGGGGAGAAAGTGAACATAAAACAGGAGATATTTGTTAATCAGATTTAGTGCAGTGCACCTCACACGCAACCTGACACGAATGCTAACCCTGCACTTACCCTCCCGCCCTGAAAACAATAGGCATGGGTGTGACCAGATTAAATGGTTATGACAGTTGTATCTGCTCTATGTTGTTTCACAACAGGCAATGTCATTTATTGTAATTTAGAGATGATGAGAAATCAAACAAAGAATACCTGCATTGACGTCACTGGACTGTATAAGTACATATAGTACACATACAGTACATGCTGTGTGTATATATAAACCCCTAGTACAAACAAAACATGAAAAGAAGACTGAGAAGTTTTTTGGCTCCCTTTAAGTTTTGCCAGAGGGAGTTGTTATCTCTTCTTCACAGAGCTTCATAGAGACAAACAACCACTCACAGTCACACCTGTGGTCAAACATGTTCAAAACATACATTATTCTACATGTTTATGTTCATTCGGGGGAAACTTGAGTAGGAAAATCCCTCACACACACACACAACGGGAGAGTATGAAATATCCATACAGTAAGCCCTGGATCAAACCATCAATATACCACTGTGTGGTATAAAACATCTGTTAAGACAAATCTTTGAAACTAAACCGACAGATAGTCAAAGTGATGCTTTCAATACCACTAGCTAAAGTGCTTGAGGTACAGGTAACAGCAAATCAGTGCCCGAGGATGACCAAACCAAGACACATACAGTGAAGGAAAGGAAAACTGCCTCTCTTCAAATGTTCAGCTTGAGGTCTGCAAATATGTGACTTGTGTGACTAATGTGGACTGTGGGCCACCATTTAAGGCCTATTGGTATTTACTGTCACTCAATTCTGTGTTACACTTCCAGTCCAACCTCAATCCAACCATTACCACAAAAAATCTGTCCTTAAAATTATAGAAGCATAACTACGAAAAGTACAAATTAAATTTTTTTTTTCAGTCGGGATGACCCCAAGGACAACAGAAGGCTGCAGATACTGTAGATCTAGGTACAGAAGTCTATAATTCCTATACTTTAAATGGGATATTTGTAATGTTCTGTGAGATGACATTCTGCAGTATAGTATTATTACATTTCAGTCAGTCACTGGTATTTAAACTTCAATGTTTCACATACAGCAGAACCAAATGACAGACCTGAAAATTAAGGTAGAACATAGCGCCCCCTACAGCGGGTGATTATGTTTCTAGTAAGTGAGAAGAGTCGCATGTTTTTTTTTCTTTTGACATACTGTAAGTGTTACAAAGTGCCAGATACATAATTTAAGTAATTAACATTTCACACTATTGTCTGACCACCTATCCCAAAAGTCTATTTTCACCTCTCAGTGTGGAAACACACTCCAGTTCAACAGAACTGCTAATCAGACCAAACTTTCTCAGAGTGCTTCTGTCGTTCATGCCTCTCTGGATTTTAATTATACTGACAAAGAGCTGGAAAAGCATCTCTCTTCCTCCTCCTCTGCTCCATGTCTGAGAGACAGGTTGAGATTCTTCACCTGTCCAACACAGGAGCTGCACCTGTCACCAAACACTTAATCACACCAGGGCCAGTGGTGAGCCCAGACACCACGCAGTGCCACGCTACACACATAACAAACACAGGCGCAACACACACAAAATTAAACTCAACTTTCTCCCCACCTATGGGAGAAAAAAAAGAGTGGGTGACGATGATGGTGGTGGAGGTGTAGAT